GTACAGCCAAAGTAAAAATAATAATAATAATATTTGGGGCTGAGGAAGTAGCTCAATGGGAGAATGTCTGCCTAGCATGTGCAAAGCCCTGGGTTCAATTCCCCAGCATTACTAAAAAAAAAAAAAAATGGTAAAGAAGATAAGTGGCATTAATGTCACTTCAGCCATCTCATAGTAGAAAAACGTAGTTTAACCTAGACCAGATCCCTCATTCTTCAAGTGAGGAAACTGAGGCCCAGAACAGTTCAGAGACTTGCTCTCCAGAGTGTCAGGTGTCAATGTAAAATAACAACTTTACTTTACAGCAACAACCTATCAGAAAGCATACCACAGTGGACTCAGAGTCACAGGTGAGAGAGGTTCTCCTCAAAGATAAATTTCTAACAGTCAGCCCCAGATATTTGTAAAAACTCAGACTGTGGCTGAAGGGAAAAGTCACTGAACCAAGTAATACAGCTAGCCATGTCTGTATTTATGGCTATGTCTGTATGTCTCGGACCTTACTAACAGGAGAGAAAAAGATAAGAGACACCATGGCCTCATTGCTGCTCTCAGAGAGGGCCCCCCACTGGGGCCTGTATCCTGAACTTGCTACCATGGTGGACAGGAGGGGCACTTCTGCAGAGAATGCTTAAGGGGGACAGCCCGGGAGACAGCCCCCCCCAACCGGACCCTGCCCTCTGCAAGGGTAACCACTGGAGGTCTAAGTGCCCCATCACCAGATGGAAGGCGAGGTGCCACCTCCTATGGATTGATGGGTCCAAGCCTCCTGGCCACACTCCACTTCTTGGCGTCAATGTTGAGGAGCCATAATGGCAGAAAAACAAAAGGTCATTTTCCTCCTAGACAGTGGAGCCTATTTCTCTGTTTTACCTTTTTCTCCTGGTCCCTGGTCCAATGACAAAAGTTATCATTCGGGGCAAATCTGGCTAGCCCCTAGAGCGCTAGTTTACCTGGCCTCTGGCCTGCTCTTGGGGAGACATCCTCTTCTGTCACTCTTTCCTCATAGTACCTGTAACTCCAGTGTCCCTGCTGGGACAGGATTTACTATCTCAATTAAAAGCTCAAATTCTCCTCCCCCCAGGCAGCTATCTCTGCTGCCACCTCCTTCAGGAACAAAGAGATTCCACAGTGTGGACTGATGAGAAGAGTATAGGGTGAGCCAGGATGGCCCTCCCTATTCAAATAAAACTCAAAAATCCCTCACAGTTTCCACACCTAAAACAATATCCCCTCAAGCTTAAGGGATGATGAGGTCTTATGCCTATTCCTTAAAACAACAAGGGCTACTAATTAGTTGCTCCAGCCCCTATAATAAATTTAAAATTCTTATAAAAGTTAATTTTAAAATACAAGTTACAAAGTAAACAACTGGAAAGGATATAGATAGGTAATAAATGTATTTTTTTGGGAAGTTAAAGGAAAAAGGAATGGTTTTTTTGGATGAGAAGGGATTTTGTAAAGAAGGGTTTGTCCTAAAGATTGTTTCAAATAGGAAGGATAAGGACAAACCATCAAAGGGTTTAGTATGTTGTATGAAGGTCTGAGTAAGTTTGAAAAGTGTATAATAAAAGCTTCGGTGTGTGATAAAGTTAAAGTTGAATATAATCTAAGAGTTGCCTAAAAGATTTTTAGGGTCATGTCAAACTAAAATCAAATCCTCTATGTCTATGAAATAACAAGGTTATCTTAATATTGTTCTGCTCTGAGTAACATCTACAAAAAACCATTACAGAGAAAGATTTTATCAAAGAAATTATTTGTTTTCTGCTGATCTTGTCAAGCTTTAAGTACTACTAAATCAGAGTTCATTTACATATTTGCTTATGTGTCTTAAATGACCACCTTGTAACAGTGTTATCTAAATATGGTACAAACATTTAAAAGGTTAAAAGTGTCAATTTATATAAAATAATGAGCTAAAGCTCTCTTTTATCCAAGAGTGTTACATTTAAATCCTGACAGCCCCTGCCTCCCACAGGTCACCTACCTAGGTGTGGCCTTAAAGGGACAGACTCACTCCCTGAGTCATAAATGCATCAACCCAATCTTCCATTTCCCAACCCCCATACCATAAGACAGCTTACAGCTTTCCTGGCAGTTATAGGATTTTGCAGAATTTAGATCCCTAGGTATGTAGTCCCTGCACAGACACCTTTTTATGCTCCTCCTAATATTCCTATTTGGGTCTTAGATAATGTATGGCCACCCATTTCTCTTAGAAAAACCTGCCTCCAACAGACTCTGCTCCTCTGGCTGACTACCTGCCTTCTCAGAGAACTTCTCAGACAGCAGGCAAACCAGATCTGCCCCCACCCTATAACAATTTCTGTTAAACCAGGACATCTTGTTCTCCAAAAGGATATTCTACCCTCTCCATTGGGACTTAAATGGACCAGCCCTCATCTGGTCATTCTCATGACACCCACTACTGTCAATCTCAATGGGTTCCCCCAATGGCGGCACCTCTCAAGAAACAATTAGAAAATGGAGAAGGGAATTGGAGAGCTCTTGAAATTGTCTAGGGGACAACATTTCACAGTGATTCTCCTTGCCAAGGGCCATCCTAATGCCTATGTTCTTGCTCTCCTATTCTTAAGCTTCCTTCCTTGTATCATACTACATGTCTGCTATTGCTAATCAAAAATTAGCAATATCTCCAGGGATACCAACCTCTTCAAAACACCAGGATAGTGGGCTGATACCCACCATGCGGAGGTCGGAGGATTGGCTCGAGACTCTTTATGACCTATGGCTACAAGGGACCTTCACCAACTTCAGGGAAGAGGAAATCTTCATTTTTGGAGCCTGGGTATATGCCATCATGAGGCTCAGCACCCCAACATTGTTTGCCAAGTAACCCTCCCTTCCCATACGCCACCCCTTGCCAGCTCGAAGAAGCCAGAGCGAACACAACGCCCCCCTTCCTTAACAAACAAAAAAGGGAGGAATGTTGGCAATAATGGCGCTGATAGGTTTCAGTTCTTACTGCACCCTTAAGCTTCTGTTTTCCAGGGTCACCATCCTGCCTCAAGTCTAGCTTGAATCCTCCTTCTGCCCCAACCTCCAATCAGCATGAACCATAAGATCCTAACCAATCAGATCATGCTGAGTCCCACTGAGGGGTATTTAAGCCCTTGCCCCTCCTGCTTCTCTCTCTTGGCCCCCTGCTCTGTCCCTCTCCCACCCACCAATAAAGAATCTCTTGGCCAGATCACTCCTCTCCACGTGGTCACTTTTGGGGCCTATATTTCCTTATAGAAACCATAATAATAGAAATCACAACAGTGAATATGAACCAGTGCAAGTACATAGTAAACTAAACAATCAGCCAAATAAACCCAAATAGTAATCACTTCCTGATTGATTTTTGATACTGACCCACCAAAACATATGATAAAACAATATTAGGAAGAAAGTTAATGTGTCTACATCAGAAGGAAGTAAGTGGAGAGATAGGGCAGTGATAAAAGAAGACAAAATCCTCACCTCCTACGGTGATAAGCCAGTAAATAATTCTTAGTAAGTATCTAAAGTCTAAAGTATCTAGTTAAGTTACTCATTTACTCTAGAAGTAAGAGAGCACTGTAAAAAGCAAGGGCTAAACATACTTAACACAGTCACTTTGGGGAATCAGAAATGGGATTAATATGATACTTTTCTCTAAAAGGTTTAAAACTGATTTTTTTCACTTTTGTGCTGTATAACTTTAATACCAACAAATATCAGACATAAAATTAGTAGTGCTTTTGCTTTAAGCCTGTTGTCTAAAAGCATAGAACACTTAGCCTTAATCTTGAAAAACAAAAGGCTGTAACGATCTGTGCCAGACTGTTTCTTTTGGGGTGGAGAAGTAAAGACTATTTCTTTTATTAAAGACCAGAGTCACTTTGCCTTCTCACAGTGAAATGACTTAAGATGAACTAGTTAAGTACCATCTGTTAGAAGTTTTCAAAGAATATCATTTCCAGAATTTTATTCTCTTTTTTGAAGTCCAAAGTCAAGCTAAATTTATGCTGACAACTTGAGACATATTTGCATTTTCCAGTTCGTGTATCAAAGCTAGTCTAATCATGCCTTTAAAATGTAGTGTACCCTCCAGTCTAAAAGAGGCCACAGTAGGGAACGGAACAGCTTTTCTTTTTAAAGTTCAGAAAGACTTCACTTGTGCAATAGTAATTTTGCTTACAATCATACCTATGCATAAGAATCTAGCAGAATATTGTAATACATCTAAATCAAATACCCAATCATCTTTAAACTAATTATAAAAGCCTAGATAGCCTACCATTAATTCCATTCAATTTTCCCTAAAAATCATTGAAGTTAAAACATTTCTCCTGAATTCGTCAGTAGTTTCATTATTCTTTTTTTGTCGTCATTATTGTTGTTTATCCCTCAAAAGAAAAGAAAGTTTAGTTACTTGATTCTATTTTGTATCTTCTCCCAAACCCACAATGTTTGTGAGACTTCCTGTTGGTCACTTGATCTAATTACTCTAGCAAAATTAGACGAGTCAGTCACTTGTGCTTAAATTGCAGCTATAATGGGATTATGTTAAGGATTGAACATTCTATGCAGGAATAAAGAAAACTGTTTTCATGTAGATTTGCAGATTTTTTAGTACAGAAGTATAATTAGGAACTATTTAAATTGACTTCTTTATTTTAGCTATGAGGAATCTGAAGATCAGAGAAGATAGCAAAGATCTTGCCAGAGATGCTAGCCAAATATTTGGTGTTGAGAAATGGGGTTGGATTGAGATCTTCAGACATTTTGTGCTCTTTGTTCTACCACAAGGCCATTGAATAAGGGGATGTGCAAAAATCAAAATGAATAAAATTTTAAATTCAAAGCAAGTAGTTTTTCATCCACATTTGAAAGCTCTAGAATCTGAGAAGCTTGGGTCTTCTCACGTGCATGCTCTCCTGTTTGTCTAGTCATTGCCATCAGACAATATGCTGCATTCCTTTTAAGCCTTAAAAAGAACTGGGACCTACCTGTTGTTCCAGAGGTAAAAATATAAAGAGAAGTAGACTTGAGGTTTGACACAACATGATGGCTACATGGCAGGGGCTCGTCAGAGGATGTACTCAGTTTTTGTTTGAGTGACACCACACCTTGTGGAACAGAATCATTCATGCCCCAAACACTAACATCTTTGGGGAGGCAAGGAAGGATTTCTTCTATACGTCCAAGCAAATCTAAAAAGCAAAGAATTAGAAATAGGTAAGCAAAACTTAAATTTCACAACAATTATATGGTTGTTTTTTTTTTAGACTGGAACTTGCTATGGAACACAACAACCTGGCCATGAGACTAAGATGCTCCTACCTCAGCCTCTTGAGTGCGAGAATTATAGGTGTGTGCAACCACACCTGACCTTATGGTTCTATTTCTTTCTTTTTTTTAAACATGTATTAATTGCACAAAGGAGTTTCATCATATTTCTGTATTGCACATAATATGCTTTGATCAAATTCACCCCCTTTTATTTTTCTTGTGCTGGCTCCCTTTATTAAAAATTTTAATAAGTTAAATTATTCTATTTTCATACATGCATACAAAGTACTTCATATTCACCCACCCACACACTCAGTCCTTTCTCCCTTCACCTTCCCACTAGTTCCCACCCCCAAACAGTCCCCATTAACACTCTGTGTGATTCATTTTTTTGAGTCTAGATTCCACACTGAAATAGAACATGTGATATTGGTCTTTCTCAGTCTGGTTTATCTCATTCAACATGATGATCTCCAGTTCCATCCACTTTCCATTCTTCCTTATGATTTAGTAATATTCCATTGTTTTTACATATCACATTTTCTTTATACATTCATCAGTTGTTGGGTGCCTAGGTTGATCCTTCAGTTTGGCTACTGTGAATAGTGCTGCTATAAGTGGATGTATAGCTGTGGTTCTATTTCAGCAGGAATAATTGAAAAGGCAATTTGGTTACCACCTGATTGAACAATACAGGTAGGCCAATTCAGGTTGAATTTTGGAGATTACATTATCCAAATTATGTTTCAAAATTTCCTCAAATCTCAACCCAGGATACTGCAGTAGACATGTTCCTTTAAATACAACTTGGTAGCTAGCTATTTCTAAAACACATCTGTGTATCTCTGTGTAGTTCTACTATGATGAAAGACATTGAGGAAATCCCCTTATGGTTCCAAATCACAGGATCATTGTAGTTTAGAGACCATTTTAGAGCTGAAAGTTGAAACAGGCCTATTTTGTTCCAAATCAGCCTGTTTTGCCGATTTGAAGAAACACATGTATCACTCCAAAGACAACCATTCGTGTTAGAAGCACGAGCATCTAGAACATAGCTGCCAAATGAGAGTACAGTTAGTTTTTCAAAGGAATACTTCCCAAAATTGAAAATTTTGAAGGTGAAGTTAGGCAAAGATTGCACGTAAGCTGATAAAACACATGATCGCTTGAAAGAAAGCCATCTGTGTACGAATCAAGAGCATGTAGCATATGGTTTCCCAGTGAGAACAGAGTAAGTTATGAATTGAATACTTTCTGCAATTCAGAAATTTTGTGGTGGAGATAAGCTAGATTTGCTCCAGATAGTTTTTGTCCAGTTAAATTGAAGGACCACATGTATCTCTCAAAAGAAACCATCTGTGTTAGAAGCAGGAGAATCTCACGCTTGCTGTGCACTGAGAACTGAGTTACTTTTTCAGAAACACGTCCTTGTCTGAAGTGTTTCATCATTGAGATAGGCTCTGTTTGACCCAACTAGGCTGATTCAGCTGAGATGAAGAAACACATATCTGTCCAAAGAAAATCATCTTTGTTAGAAGCAGGAGAATCTAGCCCATTGTTTCCTCTGAGAATTGAGTTAGTTTCTGAAAGGAATACTCCTTGCAAGTGACATATTTTGAAGTGCAGATAGGCTCAGATTTCTCCAAATAGGTATATTCAGGGGAGTTGAAGAAACACATGTATCTTTCCGAAGAAACCATCTACGTTAGAAGCCAGAGCTTCTAGCGCATTGTTTCCCAGTGTGTATTGAGATAGTTTTGAAAGAAGTACATTACAGAAGTCATAGTTTTCAAGAGGGAGATATTTTCCATTTGCTCCCCATAGGCCTATTCAGTTGAATTGAAGAAATGCTTGTATCTCTCAGAAGAAAACCATCTCTGTTTGAGTCTTCCTGCATCTAACCCCTTGTATCTGTATGAGAATTGAGTTAGTTTTTAAAAGCAATACTATCTCCAAATTATACTTTTCAAGGAGGAGATAGGCTCCGTTTGATCCAAAAAGGCCTATTTAGGTAAGTTAAGAAATACATGTATCTCTTGAAAGAAAACCACACTGTGAGAAGCAGGAAAATTTATGATATTGTTTTCCTAAGAGCATTGAGTACCTTTTTGGAAGACATGCTTCCTGCAAATCATAGTATTCAATGTGGAGTATAGCTCCACAGAAGTCTTTTTTCCTGCACCATGATGATTAAAGATAAAAAGTCTTTGAAATTAGAGGATTCCTTGTCTTTTCTTCTCCTGTGGTCTGGTACTACCTGTCCTATCATGGTTTTGTTTGCTTTCACTTTCTGTGTGCAGAATTTCTTGAAGAATCTTTTGTAGTAGTGGCTTGGTAGTCATATATTGTTTTAGCTTCTGCTTATCATGGAATACTTTTATTGCTCCATCTATTATAAATGATAGTTTTGCTGGGCAGAGTATCCTGGGGTTGAATACCTCACTCTCTGCTCTTCTTGCTTTTAAGGTTCCCTTTGAGAAATCTGCTGTGATTTTGATAGGTTTACCTTTGTATGTTATTTGTTTTTTTCTTTCTTACAGCCTTCAATATTCTTTCTCTATTCTCTGTGCTTGTTGTTTTAATGATTAATATGTCATAGGGTAGTTCTATTTTGGTCAAGTCTATTTGGTGTCCTGGAGGCTTCCTGTACCTGAATGGGCATATTTCTCTCAAGATTTGGGAAATTTTCTGTTATTATTTCATTGAATATATTATGAATTCCTTTTGTTTGCACCTCTTCTCTTTCTTTAATGGCCATGATTCTCAGGTTTGGTCTTTTGATGGAGTCAGTGAGTTCTTGCATATTCCTTTCACAGGTCTTGAGTTGTTTGACTAATAGCTCTTCAGTTTTTCCTTTAATTTCCATTTCATCTTCAAGTTCTGCGATTCTGTCTTCTGCTTGTTGTAGTCTGTTGGAGTGGACTTCCATTGTGTTTTGTATTTCTGTTGCATTCTTTTTTCTGAGGTTTTCCATATGATAGGTCACCTCCTCTTTACTATTGTCAATTTTCATCTTTAATTCATTTATCTCCATTTATACTGTTCTCTGTTTCACTTTGTTGTTTATTTAGGGTTCCTATGAGTTCATTTATTTGTCTCTGTGTCTTCTCATATTCTTCATTTTTGGTGTCTTGGAATTTCTTGAGTGTCTCTTGTACATTTCAGTTGACTATATCTAGTAACATCTCCATGAAATTGTCAGTGATTACTTGCAAGATTTCTACTTTCAGATTGTTCTTGTGGATTCTGTTGGGTTCCTTGATGTAGTTTCTTTGTTTTGTTAGAGTCTGGAACTGGGTATCCATTTTCTTCATTTCCATCTGAATGCTGTATTAAATTATTTTAGGGGGGAGAATTGTTTCCATCCCCTTTTCATCTTCCCATTGCTCCATTTGGTACTGTGTAACTATGTTCTTGATAAGGTATTGGTGGTTTCAGTCACCTGTTTTCTTTACTTTGGTTTAATTTTATTTTAGGGGTGTATTGGGTTTTAGGTTAGTGTATGTATGCTATTTCTGTTCCTGGTCTGTGTGTAATTTAGTATTAGCTAACCCACAATATAAAACTAACAAAACAAAATAAAACAAAAACAAGAAAAAAAAAACAGAAATCAATGGGAAGAGATAGAAAAACACAAACAAAAAACAAACAGAAAAACAAACAAACAAACACACAAAAAAATTCTAGGTTCAGGAACAATAGAATTTCAGTCTTAGTACTTCTGATGTTTCTCTTTCAGCATCCAGTACTGGTGTTTGCATTTAAGCAGAGGCTCTGTCTTAGTAGTGGGAGATTTTAATACCTGCCATCACTAATAGATATGTCATCTAAACAAAAAAATCAAAAGAATTTCTAGAACTAAATCACATCATAGGTCAAATGGACCTAGCTGATGTCTATAGAATAGTTCATCCAACTTCTGCACAATATACTTTCTTCCCAGCAGCCTATGGAACCTCCTCCAAAATTGATCGTATCTTAGGGCACAAAGTAAGCCTCAGCAAATATAAGAAAATAGAAATAATCCCATGCATTCTATCTAATCACAATGCATTAAAACTAGAACTCAACAACAAAAAAACAGTAGAAAATACAAACAATTGGAAGCTGAACAACACATTGCTCAATGGTCAGTGCAACATTGATAAAATAAAAGAGGAAATTAAAAGGTTCCTGGAAGTTAATGAAAATGAAAACACAACCTACAGGAAACTATAGGACACAGCAAAGGCAGTCTTATGGGGAAAGTTTATAGTCATGAGTGCATATATTAAAAGAATGGAAAGATCTCAAATCAATAACCTAATGCTACATCTCAAACTCCTAGAAAAACAAGAACAAGCAATCCCAAAACAAGCAGAAGGAGAGAAATAATAAAAATAAGGGCTAAAATTAATGAAATAGAACCAAAAAAAAAAAAAGAAAACCATACCAAGAAGCAATGAAACAAAAAGCTGGTGCTTTGAAAAAACAAACAAGATTGACAGACCCCTGGCAAACCTGACAAAAATGAGGAGAGAAAAAAACCCAAATCAGTAAAATCAGAAATGCAAAAGGAGTGATAACAACAAACACCATGGAAATTCAGGAAATCATCAGAGACTACTTTGAGAACCTATACTCTAATAAATTTGAAAATCTTGAAGAAATTGACAAATTTCTAGGTATTTATGACCATCCAAAAATGAACCAAGAGGATATCAATCACCTGAATAGATATATAGCACAAAATGAAATTGAAGTAGCAATAAAGTGTCCCAAAAAAGAAAAGTCCAGGACCTGATGGATTCTCTGCTGAATTCTATCAGATGTTTAAAGAAAAACTAACATCAACCCTCCTTAAATTGTTTCATGAAATATAAAGGGAAAGAAAACTGCCTAACACATTTTATGAAGTCAATATTACACTCATCCCAAAAAC